GGGGGGGGCAGAGGCCCCCGAGGGGGCGGTGGCCTGGCGGTGACTGCGGGGCCCACCCTCGGTTCATGCGCTGCTGTCTTGGGATTTTCGGGGCTTGATGAGAAGGGCCGGGCCGTTTGCTCCGGGCCCTGCAGCCGGCCGGCGCCCCGTGCGTGGACGTTTCCTGCAGACGCCCAGCCGGCCTGCGGCCTGGGGTGGCCCCTCTGGGCACTCGGGCCCTCCCGCTGCCTCCAAGCCCACCTGGGTGCTCTGCCCCGCTCCTGCTCCGCCAGCTGCCCCTTCCGTGTCGGCCCCCTGGGCCAGCGTCCACGGAGTCGAGCCGGAGGGAGCTGCCGGCCCCTCGGGGTGCCTCTCCCCCAGCTGCACGATGCCCGGGGAGATGGGGAGGACGGTGAGTCGTGACTGAGCCAGGAGAGGGGCCCAGGGTGTCCCCAAGGAGCCAGAGGAGGGGTGGACGAGCGGGCCCTGTCCCGTCACCCGTCATGGCCCTTCGCCAGGGCTCGCTCTTTGCTGGAGAAGCTGTGGGGTTCATGGCTGTCACGGCTGGGCCCCTAGGGGGGACCATGCGGGTCAGCACCAGGAGCCCGCCGGGGCCTCTGCCTGCGCCCCCCAGGCCTCACCTGGGCTGGCCGCTGCCCCCGGGACGTGTGGGCTGCCGCAGCTTCCAGGCCGCGCTCCGGGGCCCTTTGAGAGCCGTTTCCTGGCCGGGAGGGGAAGGTGCCAGGGACGAGCCTCCCTGCGGCGAGGCCTCCAGGCCCAGCGGGCCGTCTCGAGGTGTGGCTGGGGGTCCTACCGGGCACTTGAGGCCAGCAGGCTGGGGGGCCCAGCGTCCTGTGTCCAGCCAGAGACCAGGTGTGACGTGCTGGAGAGAGACAGAGAGGAGAGAACGGGACAGACATGGAGACAGCGAGGGGCTAAGGGGGAGGAAGTTGGGAGGAAGGAGGGAGGCGCCCGGCTTCTCTGTGGCAATTCTGGATTTGCCGTCGGGCCTCAGGCTGGAATTCCGGCTCTGTCGCCGCTGGCCGTGACTCAGTTTCCCTGCCTTGAAAATGGGGCCGATGACCGTCCCTCCGGGGAGGGTGGTGTGAGGAAGCAGCGAGGTGCCTGGCGGGGGGCTCAGACCTGACTCAGGACCAAGCGGGGGCTCTCTCGGATGAGACAGCTAGGGACAGTTATCCGGCACTGGGAGGCTCATTTAAAGGACCCCGGAAGTGAGCAAAAAGCACAAGCGCTTGTCACTATGGGGGCTGCGGCTGGGGCAGGGGCCGAGGGCGTCCGTCTCGCTGCCGTGTCCCTGCCCAGGCCGCTCGCCGCTCCCGGTGCCGGGCGCTGTGGCTGGGAGGGGTCTGCACGGAGCGCAGTCGCCAGGTACCCCGCCTCCACCAGGTACCCCGACCCCGTGTCACCACTCTGCCTTAGTGCGGCTGTGTGTCCAGGCCGGGAGACAAGCTCAGAGAGATCTCGGATGCCAGCGGGGTCACCCCGATAAGCCCAAGGACGGGCGAAAGTTGGCGCGAGGAGGTGTTTGTCGCAGCCGGCGGCCCCACGCAGCTCGGGCCCCCGACGTGCCAAGGGCACGCGCACCGGCTGGAGGGAGCCCGCTCTGCCCGGTGCTGCACAGAGTCCCGGCCCGGGCTCCGGCTGTCGCCCCCCGCTGCCGGGGCTGGCTGTGGCCGCCGTGCCAGGTGAGCACCCGCTCGCGGGCTTGGAGGAAGCTTCTCGAGCAGCCGCAACCCACTTGCCCAACTTCCTGGCTGAAATCTGACCTCAGCCCCCTACGGCCCCTCGCCTGCAACAGCCTGACTTCCGGAGCTGCCGGAGCTGCCCCCCACCCCCAGAGTGCGGGGCTCCTCTGTGTCCTGGGGGGCATTTCTCCCCATCCAAGGCACCTCGGCGAGGGGCGGCCCCGGCTGGGGCAGCGACAGCGAGTCGCGGGCGGCAGGAGGCGGTGGCCTCTGTGCTGCCCCTGGCGGCTGAGCCCTGCGGCGGGCTGTTGACCACCACGGCCTGACCCGCCTCTCCCGGCCTCACCCCGCTGCCTGCCCGCCTGGGTGGCTGGAGGAAGGGGCAGGCCGCCTCGGGGCCGCTGGCGGTCGTCTGGGGGGGTCCCCCAGTCTAGGCTCGGCCTCTCCTAGAGGAACCCGCTTTTTCAGGGAGCCGGCTGGGACCGTGTCCACCCCGCCGCCCGCCTCGGCCCTGACACCCGTGCATCAGAAGTTGTGCTTCTAAGCTTGTCACACTGGGGGGCTCCTGGCGTCCTGCAGATGGCAGAGAGCAGGGATGTGCCCCGTGCCCCCTGCCCCATGCAGGGCAGCCCCTCAGCAAGCTGGCCAGGGAGCTGGTGGACACTTTCTGCTCAGCCCTCGGCAGTTGCCGCGCCTGCACCGGGGGTCTGTGGTGGAGCAGGAGCCCCTCTGTGTTATTCTCACAGCGCAGGGCCTCTGCTATGCATCAGTGCTGGGCTCAGAGCGGCCCAGCGGGCACACAGTAGGCCCGGCAGGTACACAGTAGGCCTAGTTGGCACAAGGTAGGCCCGGTGGGTACACAGTAGGCCCAGTGGGCACACAGTAGGCCCAGCTGGCACACAGTAGGCCCGGTGGGCACACAGTAGGCCCAGCTGGCACACAGTAGGCCCAGTGGGCACACAGTAGGCACGGCTGGCACACAGTAGGCCCGGTGGGCACACAATAGGCCTGGTTGGCACACAGTAGGCCCGGCGGGTACAGAGTAGGTCCAATGGGCACACAGTAGGCCCGGTGGGCACACAATAGACCTGGTTGGCACACAGTAGGCCCGGCGGGTACACAGTAGGCCTGGTTGGCACACAGTAGGCCCGGTGGGCACACAGTACGCATTCAATAAATGCTGCTACAGATTTAATCGTGATCTAAACTGTGTCAATGAGTGTCCAAGAAGCAGATGGTGGTCATCACCCAGGAAGTTCAAGACACTGTGGGGTCCCCCCTCTGTCCACCTGACGCTTGTGCTGGCTCACGGAGTCCTTGCTCCTGGGCTCACACTTCAGGCCTCACCCGGCAGCTGCCCAGGTAGGCCCACAGAGCCTGGGCACCACCCCAGGTGGTCCATCTGGGGAGGGAACATGCTGCTTGTAAACCTCCACCCAGTGGCCACAGGGGGATCCTACCTTCCAGGCTGGGGATATTCTGGGCAAACTTACACTAAAACCCTTTTTCCTTTATCTGAAAGTCAAATGCAGCCGGCAGCCCCTTCCTGGCCTCCTGCCCCTTCTCCCCTCCTGCTTCTTACTGAGTGTGAAGCGCGGCTGAGGTGTAACATAGACGGCAACGAGGGCGGGAGGCGGGAGTGTCACAGTGCACACCCTGGCTGGAAGCGCCCAGATCCAGAGCGTGAAGCGGCCCCAGGTGCAGCAGGGTCCCCCACCCCGGAGACCCCACCCCCGCAGGCCTGGCCGGAGCGCTCGGCCGGGCTCTTTGTCTGCACGCTGCGGAGAGGCTTCTCTGTCCACTGGGTGTCTCCTCTCCTGCGATTAGAATATTCCGTGTTCGGATATGAAGCCTTTAGTTTCTCCATCCCTCTGTGGGTATATTTGGATTGTTCCTGGCTTGGGGAGGCTATAAATAAGGCTGCTGAGAACCTTCTCGCACGGTGCGGTGCTCGGCAGCCAGGTCCCGGGCCAGGCGCCTCCCGGGCCAGGTGCCCTTTCCTTTCCCACCAGCGAGGGGTCCAGGGCCCGCCCGTCTCCACTCCCTGTGCCTGCCGGGAGCCGGCGCTTGGGGGTGCGGAGGCGTGGGGACTGGCCTCTCCCCAGCCTCCTGCCCTGGGACGGCCCGCCGGGATTGACCAGGGCACAGACTTGGATTTGCATGCATTTGTCTGAGGATGAGCAACTGCCATGCAAATCCCAGGGAAATGGGCTCCCAGGGCCTGGGGAGGCCAGCAGAGGGTGGGGGCAGGGGCCCGGCGCCCACCTGCACTGAGGCCCTATTTATAGCCCCCTCACCCCAGTGCTGCCGCAGACAGTCTCGGGGGAGCATTCCTGGGGCTTCTGGAGGGCCTTCTGCCCCCAAGCTGATGAAAGGGATGAGAAAGGATCTGGGCTTCAGCAGGACCTGGCCCCGTCCGCAACCTTTGCTCTGAGTCTTACAAAAATAGCCTGCTTCCAGCTATTTTGGGTGGTGGAAGGCCTGGGGAGACGCACTCTGTGGAGGAAGAGGGAACCCAGAGCGTCTCCCAGGGCAGAGAGGGAGGCCCAGCCCTGCAGACCCAGAGGCACACTGCATTTTCCAGCAAATGGGACGCCTCTAGAACTTGCAAATTAGCAGCCTCTCTGTGCACGAGTGAGTGTCTCCCTTGCCTCCAGGCCACTGCTCCCTGGGAGGCCCGCCAGGCCCAGGGGCACAGAGCCTGTGGCCCTGGGTGACCGGCTGCTTGGGGCTGGGTGGGAAGAGCAGCTGCAAGGCTGAACCCGGGAGAAAGCAAGGCGGCATTCTCTGTACGCAAAAAGCTAAGAGCAAACGCAAGGCCACGTCCCTGCCTGCAGGGCGCCGCAGCCCACCCCAGCAGTTCGCTTGTTCTCTTGCAGGCCTGAGTCTGGGGATGACCTAGAGGCTCTGTCCTCCTGGGGAGCACGTGGGAGCGGGCAGTTCCCAGGCTTCCGAGCTCCGCTCACCCAGCCGCAGAGGCCTGGCTGTCCAGCCTGGATTCCTGGGCTTCCTTCTCCCAGGGGCGAGCCTCGGTCTCCCCAGCTGCAGCAGGGCCGGGGATCCCGAGGCTGCCCTGGAGGGCCAAGCTGACCCCAGCCGCGCTTGCCTGGCACCGGCCACCTCCCTCCCTCCCCTTCCTCCCTGCTCTCTGCCCTCCTGCCTTCTCCCAGCCAAGTGGCAGGACAGTTGCTGGCAGGCCTGGCTTCAAGGTCAGGGAGCCACACAGGCCAGGCCGAGCCAGGAGCAGCAGCTCAGCAGTTCGGGTCTGATCTGGGTGGGGGAGGGGGCTGAGGCCCCGCCCCTCCCCCATGACATCTGCCAGGCGCCCACCGCCAACCTCCCAACCTTGGCTGGACAAGAAACTGCTTTGCATATGCAAAGGAGCCCGGGGGCACCAGCCATGCCACCTGCTCTGGCAGGGAGGCTGCAGCCCTGGGGCTCTTCCTGAGGGCTGAGTTGGGGGCCATCCAGGGCAGAAGAGCCCCAGTCCCCCAGAGTGGTGGAAAGAGACGGGGTGGTTTTCCTCCTCCCTCCCGCCCCCATCTCTGGGGAGCCCAAGCTGGCCAGGTGCCCAGCGGGGCTTCGGGGCTGTGGCTTTCAGCTCTCCTGACCCTGAGTCTGAACTGCAGGTGGGCCGAGAAGCTCTTGGGCTGACCTCACTCTCCATTTCCTCCACGATGAGTCAGAGGCACGAGGCGCCCAGGGCCTGCCACATTGCAGGCGAGCTCTCCTGGAGAAGCTCCTGCGGGCCAGGGGCACCCTCCTCCCCACAGCCCTCTGTGCAGGATCCTGAGCCCGTGGGCAGCCGCCCACGCCGGGCGCCTGCCTGCTGGGCGGGAGGCTGTGGCCCAGGCGGGCGCCCCCCCGTCCCCCTGGGGTCTGCGGCATCTGAGGCGGGGTCGGTCTGGGAGCCACCCAACGTCCATCAGCTAGCGTCCTCCCTGTGAGGCCGGCCAGAGGGAGGGCCCACGGGAGGGAGGAGCCTCTCACCCAGGGGGCTGACCGGCTGTCCTGGCTGTCTTTCCAAGGCCGCCTCCAGGTGGATGGACACCGGGATTCACCCCCGAGAATGTTGGACGGGAGCAGGTGGGCGTCTGCTCCCTTCCCTTGCCCCTAACCCACCCCTCAGGCTCCATCCCGGCCTGGAATCTCACTGGCTGAGCCTGGCTTAGTTTCTCAGGCCACCTGGCCTGTTCGCCTGGAGCTGGCTGGCTTTCCCATCAAGCCCCGGTCAGGGAGCATCATAGTGAGTGCCAGGCAGGTCCACCCCAGGACCTTTGCACGTGCTGTTCTTGCCCCGGCATCCCGTTTTCATGTGGGGTGTCGAAATCTCAAATTTCCTGCACACCTCTAGATAAACCTGAATTTCGCCTTCCCCCAGCCCTCCCCAGCCCCCACCCTTGATTCACATCCTGCCACAGCACAGCTTGGCCCTCTGGCCCGCCAGCCACTTAGCTGATCTCGTGAACAGTGTTTCTGCCGCGGGAGGGTGGCCCCACCCAAGGCGCCGGGAGCCGGCTCTGAGGTCCCCCGCCCCGGGCCCGCGCACTCCCTGCACAGTAAACACGTGCTTCCTGGTTCAGTCGAGACCTGTCGTGAACGGTGTGCTTCGTGTGCATGGCCACTACACGTCGATGCAGGCTATAGCTTCAGGTGCAGCTTGGACACAGGCTTCAGAAAGCCCCCTGGGAAATTCTAATGTACCGGCAAACTTGAGAGTCACCATGTTCACAGATTTTTGCAAACAGGAAGATACGGAGTCTCCTTTTAGCATATGGATTCTTTATTATTTTTTTTATTTTAGCAAGTGTCAGTAGTCAAGCTTTTCCCGGGGTGGGCAGGCGAGCCACGGCGTGGGTAGAACCGCGAGCAAAGCGATAGAGATGGTGGGCAGTGTGCCCAACCAGTGTGCCCAGCCATGGGCCGCGCTCGGAGCGCTGGCTGTGAGAGCCCTGGCAGGCAGACCTGGGTGAGCTCTGAGGGGCGGGGGGGGCAGGAAG